GGTGGTGCCCATGATGCTGGAGTCCTTCAGCCACAAGTCTTTATCTGCATGCATGCATACATGCAAACAAACCATGCAAAACGAGTGTTTTATATACTTATAACTGCAGAGCTGCAGCTGCAGCGGCAGCTGAGCTGAAACAAGCGTCACAAAGAAAGGAAAAACAACAGGATAAACAGGCAAAACTGGCAGCTGCTGCTGCTTCTGAGCGTACTGGCATAGAGCCCCCTGTCATCGACGTTGTTGTTGTCTCCCTTCGTCAGCAGCCTCATTTCCCCCGCGCTGTTCGCATGCAGATTGAGGACGCGGTGTACAATGGGGATGTCTCTGCCTTCAACCTGAAGGCAGCCACAGCACCAGTACTAGCGCGGCTTAATCATATGGTTACACAAGAGGCCTCTGCAGTTATTCCTATGCAGCTCCTCTCCCTCTTGGCGACAGGGGATGAACATGAACAGGAGCAGCTCAGCTGTACAGGAGTCACCACAACAGAGCCATGTGTGCTGCTCACCTTGAAAACTACGATGTCCCCCACAGCCGCCTTGGGGCCGTGATCCAGCAGAAAGAGAATATCGCCACGGCTAAAGGCAGGCAACATAGAGCCGCTCAGCACCACCACAACTGGAGATGGACTCCCCGCAGCCAACACCAGCACTTTCCATAGCATCAAAGCTGCACAAGCAACGGATACGCAGAGACAGATGAATGTATACATCCATGCATGCATGCAGTTCTTCGCATGCGTGACATCTGCATACATGCAGGAACAGCTGCAGGCCACAGCGATGCAGACGCAACAGAGGATGAAATCGTGGGTTCGCGTGTGGGGCTTTCGGAGTTGAGTTGCATCTTGTCTTTGTTTGCTCCTGACAAAGGGGGATTTGCACTGGGGGCGCTTGACGTGGTGTTTAATTAGAGAGGCACCTGAGAGGATGATGCAGCAGAGGCTGAGAACCGTGTGGACAGCATCTCGGGGTCTTCTGAAGAAATGCTGAACCTCCCTCCAGGCGGAAGCCCCGAGCTTCTTGATGTCGTTTAGCATCTCCTCGTCTTCTCCTCAATTCCACGCTCAACATATACCGCCTAGCCGGCCCAGCAGACAAAGAACCCGTTCAAGAGCTCACCTCCCCCAAGCGGGGGCAGCCAGACAAGCCCTCAGCTAGTAGGCAAGCCTTCCTCCAGATATACTGCTGTTAGAGAAGGAAACAAATGCCTCTCACGCGCCTCAAACTCTCGTTCCATCAGAGGGGCTGCCCTGGTATTTCCAGAGTCCAAATGCTTAGCGGGGGCCTCAGGTCAACCACCCAGAGTTTTGGCCTCCCTTGCAGCAACAAATAACAGAAGAAAAGCAAAAAAAATGAAGAGCTGGTGTCAATTGCCTCACAGAACACACGCCTCCCCCCGCAGCCGACTTTTGTCCCGCACATGCAGGCGGCAGCCGGATCACCACATGGGGCTGCCCCCGAAACCTTTCTATGGAAGCTAAACGTTGAAGTTTTTTAAATACTAGATATTAGGAAAAAGGTAACCTTGGTGAAAGCTGAAGGACCATGAACCGACCAACTAACCGCCGCCGCCGCCCCCCTCGGCGCGCAGTGAAGGCAGCGGGGGGGGCGGGGGGGGAAGATAAAATAGACGCCAGCAGAGACGACTCTAGAAATCAAATACTAAAACGGTTATCTGAATCATATTCCAGTGCGTTGGAATACAGTTCGCGTTGGGGATCCAAGTAAATGCAACGACTTGCTGCCGCTGCAGGGTGATCTGTGTAGCGTGCTCAGTGAAGTTGTTTGGTACGTAGATTTCCATCTGTGTGCAGACTTGCTAATGAGGGGGAAGCAAGTATTTCACAACGACCTAGACTGTTAGCAAGTGAGTCAAAAAGCGGCTTGGCTACGCTTGAGCGTGTGTTCGCCTTACAGGAGTAATTGCAGGAAACTGCGATGCAACTCATGGCAGGGCGGCCCTTATCGGCATCGGCCCGTGTCTTTGTTCCGCTGTGCTTTGTATGCCTGGAGACGGAATGGATGTCAGTAGCTTTGGGGGGACTCTCATCTTACGTTTCCGACTGGACTGCAGCCCCCAGGTGCGCTCCGGTACGATCAAGGCCCCCCGCCATACTTGGCGGAGCAGTTTGGCCTAGCGAGCTCCAAGCTCACAGCTGAGCAGACTGGTGCATAGCGCTGATTACTTATGAGGGCGGCTCGCAAGGAAACGAGATGAATATCCGTACAGAGTCCCTCTAATAATATTCTCTCCAACTGCATGGTGTTTCTTCGTACTGAAACTTGCGCAGTATTTGCATCCCATCAAGAAGAAAGTGTCCCCACACCGAAGAATGGCTCTGGTCTTTTTGCGGCAACAGAAGTGTGATAAGTGTTTTTTTGCGGGAGCAGTAAAGGAGTTATTTGCCCCCATGGAGCTGCAACTTTTGTGTTCGTAGTGCACCCAAAGAGCTACAGTTGCTACTGGCATCCTCCTTATTAGAAGGGGACAAACGATACTACTGGCTATATTCAAGAAAGGTGACCACTTTGCGGGCACATTCAAGCTATGCAAGTCTTCCGAGGCGCGCTACGAAATCCTTCTTCTCTCTAAGGTCGCAGGGGAGCTGCGCATGACAGAATTAAGAAAGCTTCGAGAATGGAAACCACCGCTAGTGGACTATGCAAAAGGACATGAATTTCGGTGGCTATACAGTCGGAGCTGCAGCTCTTGCTCGAAAGCTACCCTGCATGCAAGCATGCCCCGCTGCATGCGCTAACGCCGCAGATATTTGGTAAAAACGAGTTGGCCGTTGGTACTTTGCCGGCGCGCGGTAGAAATACACCTGCCCACATCACACAGAGCATGCTACAGTTGCACCGGAGCAACCGTAGGGATAATTTGTTCCTTCTAGAGCAAGACAGATGCTTCACGGCCGTATATTCCTCTTTCCAAAAGACTGCATACTGCTCACACGGCAAGACACACGCGAACTCTGCAGTGCAGACAAATAACTAATATGCGAAGACAAGGGACTTGCAGCCGACCGGCGAGGGCCGCCAACGGAGTGGCTTCAAGAGGAACAGAATGGGTTTTCTTTTTCTATTAAAATCCCTCCCTTTGTGATAACATATTATAAGCACTTGTGTTGCGCCGATGCCCGTATTTCCACTAGGCCCAGCAGCGCTCTCCAGGGCTGCAGCTGCTGCTGCCGCCGCTGCTGTTGCTGCTGCTGTTGTTGCTGCATGCAGCAGCGCCCCACATCAAGGTGAAACCTAGTGGGCGGCAAATGTATTAACTACTTAATTTACTTTGAATTAGAAGAAGTGAACAGAGTAAACAGAATACTAGAAGAGGTCCCTCAAGACCCACACCACAGGCCGTGCAGCAAAACAGTAACAGCACTAGCAGGAGTCTCGCAGCTCCGTTGAAGCCTCGCGGTGGCTGGGTTTCTCTTAGCGGTATTTGTTGATTAGTGCATCCCGGAGGCCTCATACCCACAGAAGAGGCCAGAAGGAGCACCTACTGTGACGGCAGCAGAACCAGCAGCGGAAACAGCAGCGGTTGGGCCTCACCGGATAACCCCCCAGCAGCTGTTGCCGCAACTGGCTCTCTAGCAGATGCAGAAAATCAGTGTGTAGGATATTTACAAGCATCTGTAGCTCTTTTGCATCCCCACAGGGGTCGCCTAGGTCTGAACAGCTCTCTCTCGTCCTGCTGTTTTCAGTTTGCCTTCCCCACGAGTTGCCTGTGACTCTTGCTTGTAGTAGCTTCTGTGTCCGCTAGTCTGGGGCGGCTTTGTTCAGAGCACGCGCTACGTGCTGCGGCGTATGGTGTGCTGACAGCAGCAACAACAGCAGCAGCTGCCGCTTGAGAGGGGGAGCTACTTGTGGCTAGGGGCTTGCAGCGGCGGCAGCAGCAGCTGCTGGACTGGCATAGGCTGCTGCTGCTGTACAGGTGTATGTACAGTCCGATGCGGAGCAGGCGGCAGCAGACTAGGGGCTGCTGTTGGTGTGGAGGGCTATAGCCCTGCTGCCCGGGTGAAGACCACCAACTGCAGCAGGAGCAGCAAGAATCAGCAGCAGCAGCAGCAGGATTCAGGTTGGTTTGACAATGCAGCTAGAAGACTTTGACAGGGCCGTTAGCGCCCTCTTCTCTCAGGGCAGCGCGGCAGTAAACCCCGCAACGAGATGCGAGGCAGAACAGTACCTCAGAGGTAGGCGTAGCTTCTTGTTCGTATTTCTTTGTTTTTGTCAGTTGTTCTCCTCTATGCATGCATTCTGTTTTTCCTATTTTCTGCTCCCTTCTCGTGCTGGCTTCTGTGATACTGCTGTATTGCCTTGGGCCCGAATGCAACGCCGCGGTGTGTCTGCTGCTGCG